ACCTTGGAGATCACTGAAGTAGGCATGACTTGTTGGACATGATGCTGCTTTCTTGTCTCCAAAACAGTGGTAACCCAAAGTGTGGACAAGGTTGTTGTAAAATGCACTTATCCAGAAGGTGTCATTCATCAAGATAAAGCAGCTTTTTTTGTTTTTGTTTTGGAACTATTTGAATAAACATGAATCAGATAATTCCTCTACTATTTACTCATGAGTTAATGTGAGAGATTCTGGTCCTATGCTATTAATGATCATATTTTTACTTGCAATGTTTTTGTACAGTGTCTTTAGTTGGAATGCTTCTCTCAGAGGCTATATTATTTTTATTTTGCCCGAAGTCAGAATTTCTTCTGTTGTTTTTGCAGTACAACTGAATTGTTATGCTACCATATTTTTATAGTCTTCTGAAAAACTCTGTCCTTTGATTTCAGCATCACTTCTGTGTATTTAAAAGGCTGATGCAATATAGTCTCTTTCAGATCAGAAAAATCAGTTAACACACCAGCATGTTCAGGATGAACGACAAGTACTAGTTTGTCCTCTCCACAGCTTTTATGTCTACTCTTTTGCCTTCATTGGAAGGAAAAATTCAACTATTAATATTTTTATTCTCCTTTATTCAGTGAAGATACAATTCAAAATGTAATAGCTAACTGCAGAGTGCCATAGACATGTGATAAGATAATAAATTACCTTAAAAACCAGACAACTTTCTGTTACTTATTCTTGATTCAGGACCATGTAATTTCACAGCTATGTACTTAAGCCAGTGTCCTTTCAGATACTCTCTCACATTTATTATAGTAGGTCAGTTTTGGCCAGTTCACTGTTTGGTATGAACAGAAGTACTAGAATCAGGTTTCAAAATAACTTATCTGTTCTGATCTGTGCAATGAAATACCAGTAGTTTCAGAGCTTTTTTTTAATTAATATTTACAGTGTATTTATACTGCCTTTCAAGTCATATAATTCAACAGCAGATGATGAAAAAGATGATAGAGAACTTGACTCATTGCCATGCCAAAGCAGGATTGTTCGTGGTGTCATATTTTCCATTGCATTGCCTATTACCCTTTTTGGTAACTTCAAGGACAGATTGCCCATAATTTCTTCCTTCTCTCTTGGTAAGGTTCAGGTTCCTACATGAGTTTCAGTAAGAGGCTCATTCTTTATTTCAGGAAGCAGTTCATCAACGTAGAATGACATTGGCTGAGTTGATCAAGATGAACCTATGTATTTCGTGTAATAATGGAGCAGTTTATAAACCTTAATGGCTGAGCAGTGAAATTGGAAAAGAAAGAATATGACCCCTTGACTTTTAAGGGTCAGAAAAGGTAGAGGTGTTTCTGCTTGAAGGTCAGCTGTGTAACCATGCAACTGCCTCTTGCTGCAGGAGAGCACAACCAACCAAGTGGGTAAGTGTACACCACATGCCATTTAAACTAACAGAGCTTATAAAAGGAAAAGATGCGCTTTGCTGGAAGACTTCTGCCTCGAGTCAGCACGACTTCCTAACTCAAGTTCTCACTCTTTGTCCCTTTTATAGCTACACAGAGTCTTTTCAGGTGGTTTATTAAGTGATCGTTTTAAGGGCTTGGCAGTAAACACTGGGCTTTGTCTTCCAATCTCCTGGGAAAACTCAGTGGTAGGTAGGTTGTCAGCCAGGAAAAATTGGGGATTCAGTCCCTTTTTAGAGAAGCGGCAGTGTTCTGTAACCAGAATTACTAACCTTCTCATAATCTGGAGAGAGAGGCTGATCTGTAGTATGAATCTTTTCCCATTTTATAATTCTTAATCTACATGAAAGAATTGGCAGTCCAGCCTACTCATATAAAGTCATCTTAACCCCGGTAAAACTTTTTATTTCTCCTCTCTTCTTTTCTGCAGTCTACTAGACTTACTCCTCAAGTAAACCTTTAATTGTGTTTAAAGGATTACTTTTATAAAGTTTCCTTTACATTCTCAAAAATTACTCTCGATTTCTTCCACAAATAATTTCTAGCTTGTGTTTCAAGTGAGCTCTTTCTTCAAGTGGAAAGTTTTTGTACTCTCTTCTCTTATTTAATAAAGGAAAACATACTGAAGAAGATATAAAACTTGAGTCTCTGTAGCTCTTATTGTCACTTAAACTGGCTGCCATAAGTGATGACTGAAGTATGTACAATCCAGCATTTATCTTGCCTGATTAGCAGATCCATCCTGAATTTTGTTCTTCCTGACCCTATAGAAGTGAAGCTGCTTGCCCATCCTTTTCAATTCTGGCAACCTAATTACCTCAGTAGGATTAAAAACAAACAAACTAAACAAAAAGGCAAATGGTTTATCCTTGGTTTTGAAACCAGATGCTAGATATTCAGTCCCATTTGTTGTCATCATTAAGGATTGTGCTGACAAAAGCACTTTATTCATGAAAAAAGAAGATGAAGGGGAAAGGGGAAGGCAAAATAAATAGGACTGAGGGATGTGCGTGTGGCTTGGTAGACTTAGCAAGTGGAGAGGGTGGGGTCAGAGTTCCCAACTTCACAGCTGATTGACTGATTTTCTTGGTTTAACTGATTTGCTCTGTGACTCAAAGTACCTTTGCTCTTCAGTATGCCCATCCATAAGAAGGTTATGTTACCTGATTTAAAATGGGTTCTGCAGATTATTTGTAAAATGCTTTGGGAAACTTGAGTGAAAAGATTTCTATGTAGATAGGTACAGATGTAGAAATAAATGTAGACATGCATCTGAGCCTAGTGCTGTTACAGAGCACAGCATTACTGCCACCATGGAAAGAATGAAATCCCCTGGGAGCTGTTAAGTAATTCCTCAAGTATTTTCATACATTTACTATATGTTACTTTGGCTTGGCAACAAATGTGGGGTCATATGCAGCTTAGTACATGGAAAGAGGGAGAAGTGTGGGGAGAAATGATCATTTGTTGAGGTTTTTTAATTCCTTTTGTGCTCTTGCCTTGTCATTAGAACCAAAATCCATTCTGTCTCTCCTCCGGAGCCCTAGCTATTTACTCAGTGTTAAGCCACTGGCATTTTAAAATGAAAGAATTTCCATACCCAGGAATTACATCCTGAGGGAAAATAGAAGGCTTTTTCAAGCATGCTGTTCCTTGAAGGTAAGCACTGGGTAGATGGTTCACTGGTCAGCTTCAGGATGTCAGGTTTTAGAGGATTGTAGCAGCTCTTCTCTGAACACTTGCTTCTCCTATGGCTCATCAGTTCCATTTGCAAATCACTCAATTTTTAAACTATTTAATGACTGTCTTAAAAACTATTAAGTGATTGGCAAAAAATAACACCAACCTGCTCTTCCACAGCACTATAGGATTCATGCCCCTTGCTTTGTGTCTTGTGTGTTTTTCCTTTAGATTCCTTTTCCTTCTCTTTCCTCAATTTCAACTGTCCCTGTGGCAGTAGTGTTCAGATGGAGTAGAAGGCAAGAAGGGAACTAATTCCCTCAAATAGTTTTTGCTACACCATTGACAGAGAAGCCTATTGGTGTGTGTCAGCAGGGAGGCAGGAAAGAGGTAACAAGGCATGAAGGGAAAGCTAAAAAGCCATGAAGATACAAGGGAGCAGTGTTTGTCAGAGAAAGATAAGTAATGTTGTCAAAGTAATATGCAGTAAAAGGGAGACAGCTGGGGACCTAAGGCAAAGGTAGGCAGAACTTAAAAGTGGACTGAACATCAGCCTTCCCAGATAGAGCCTTCTCTCTGCTGAATGGCCCATGGGGAGCTGCTGACTACTGGGGAAAAACCTTTGGCCTCTTCACACTGAGCTAAAAGACCCAGGTTTCTAGATCAAAAAACACTCAGAACTCTTAAGTACTTTGCTTCATGTTTGTTCTTGGATATTCAGGATGGAGCCACAAGGTGTCCTATGCCATTAGTACATGGGTACAAATTGAAAGAGAAGAAATTTAGGTTAGATATTAGGAAGAAATTCTTTACTGTGAGGGTGGTGAGACATTGGAACAGGTTGCCCAGGCAGGTTGTGAATGCCCCATCCCTGGGAGTGTTCAAGGTCAGGTTGGATAAGGCCTTGAGCAACCTGGTCTAGTGGGAGGTGCCCCTGACCGTGGTAGGAGGGGATTGAGACTAGATGATCTTTAAGGTCTCTTCCAATCCCCTAATTCTCTGATTTTGTGATTAGGCCATGTGGCAAGGGAGAAGCTACAGTGTTAGAAGGTATTCATTTTGCCTAGCCAGTGTGGCTGCATCAACACTAATAAACTAAAGTGGCTAGCATGCTCAGAGTCACCCTCAGGCCCTGAGCACAGCTAGCTACATGCAGCTCATCCCTATATAATGAAATTTTTTTTTAGTATGTAAACTGCTTGCTTGGGGTGGTTATTTGTATGTTGCTAACTCCCAAAGTTTGTCTGGGAATTGTCAAAACCAGGACAGTGACCCTTTGAATAATTTAAAAGCCTTGATAATTGCACAGTAAGATATACAAGTATCCCCAGAAATGCCAAGGCAGTGGATAGAATTCAAAAAAAGTTTATTTAGAAGGCCAGAACACAAAAACCCACAGTGTGGTTTGCACACTGGGCCTCGGGGAGCAAAAAGCAAGTTCCCACCCCCTCAGGGCCCTTTTAATCCTCTCTGTTTCTCCCCCGCCTTCCCAAGGCCTCAGTATATGCCTTTTAGGGCTGTATCTCTTCTCAGTACCAGAGAGCAAGGCTGAGCACTTCCCTTCTATGCGCAGGGCGGGGGAGAGGGGAAGACATTGAAACTGCCTTTGAGAAAGAGTAACCATTTAGGCAGAAAGCCTTCCTAGTGAAAACCGAGTTCTAACTTTCCGTTACAAATTCTTCCAGAAATGTAGCTATTCCTACATGATTGATATCTAGTGTTCAGGGTGCAACAGGCTGGCTTCTCTGAAGGGTATGGAAAGGGTTGGGAAGAGGACATTGCAATGATAATGAAAGGTTTAGACTTGGGCAGTGAGGGTGCACAGTGAGACACATTGATCTTGACAGTTCTTGACACCCAAAGTATTTTGGATTGACTTTACCCCACCTTCAGGAACCGAGAGAATGTTTTGAACAAATTTTGCTTCTGAATGTCTGCAGTTTGTTTGAGCATGAGGAGTCAGTTGGCAAAGTGAACAGGGACAGGTTTCAAGTTTCCCACAGAACTGCTTCAGTTTTTCACAACTCTGCACGAGGAAAACAAGATTATTAGGACTTTATTCCATGAAGACCAGCCATAAAACAAGGCTTAGAAGAGGCACTTTTCTGTTGACTGCACAAGGAATTGCACTTGGCAATACCATCATGTGAATGTGATCTTAATGCCTGTTTGCAGCAATGCTGTAAGCAGACTTAAACTGTGGTTTATTTCTAACTAAAGTCTGACTTAGGAATGAGTAATTTTTACACGAGAATGATTTATTTATTTATTTGAAATCACGGAGACAGGCATTTCATACTGAGGTCTGCTGCCTCTGTAGTGCAACTTATGATCCCAAAAATGATCTGGGGTTGCTTCTCTCTGAATTCAAGCATCTGTGACGTTAATGTTACTGCATTTTATAATTGGTACTTGATAGTTTAAGTGGATAATCAGCTAAGACATAAATGCAGCTTACCAGGAAACAATTGAAAATTTAGGATAATAAGGCTGATTAGACACTGTGTTATGCCAGTCTCATGCTAAGATAATTCTACTGAGAGGGAGTTGTACAAATAATGCTGTAAAATACACAGTGGTCGGGCAGACCCTCTTCACATATGCTTGACTGCTTATCTTTGAGCAGACACAGTCTGAAAGGTAGTAGGCTGCTGCTAATGAGAAGGATTAAATGCACCTCAAGTCTAGGATTTTAGACATTGCTTTGCTGTGATCTTTGCTACTTCTCTTATAGAAAAGTTTAAAAAACAGTTAATAACATCTCAAAGCGGTCGTTGTTTCAAATACTTTTCTCCTGTTATCTAGGCTCTTATTTTAGATTAAAACATGAAGGGATAAGCGTCTTGCCCAGCACTACAAAAACCTAGTGGCTTTTAGCATTCGTTTCGAATGCTTGTTTGCTGTTAAAGAAGGTGGTAATGCTCGCAGAGGAGGGAACTGCATGTGGGTTTTTTTGGTGGATGAGCATAAGATTGGTAGAACATAATGTTTTCAGGCTCTTAATTCAGAGCCCTAGCAATGGAAGGAACCATGTGGTCCACTTGAGTTGTTAGGTAAAGGTGCATAAATAAAGCTTTCAATTAACTTCATAACTCCAGGTGCAAGGCTTCATGGGGACCAATTTAGTCTATGGCACAAAAGATATTGCTTGGGTATCAGAGAGGTGAGAAAGCCTGGTGTAAAAGGCATTGTCACTGGATATAGTTTCTCATGGTTTTATTTGTAGCACAGGAAGGAGATCACTTACTCTTTTGTCCCAAGGGCTCATTCTGGCCCTATTTCCCATGTATGGAGACAGAGAGCAAATGGAGAGAGTTCAGTGATGATAATACAAGTATTTTTTTTTCCTAGTGCATGCTTCCATCATACCAGAAAGTGATTATACGAAGAAGACTGACCTGTCAGTATCTTATGTTGTTCTGGGACTCACATAACCTGAAGCGTTTGGATCCATTTGGCAGATTCTTCTGTACTTATTAGGCTCATGAAATCTTTGCACTCTGATGAACAGTTAATGCCCTCTCCAAAGTGCTGGCCAGTCCTCCAAGTGCCTGTTTGGCACGCCCTTGGGAACTTCGATGTCATAGGAACAGCAGCTGGAGCTGTATGTTCAGTGGCCATGTGATGGTTGGTTGAGGTGTGTTAGACATATGCTGTGTGTTCAGGGTTATTTAAAGGATTAATCTACATGAGCCATGCAGCTGAAATGAAGCTAGTGATCTTCAGTCTCTGTTCATTACTCTGCCATGCTTAAGCATGACAAACTATTCATCTTATTCCCAGTTTATTTTCCTCACAAAAATTCACTGGGGGAAAAAAACCCCTATAAAAATAATATAACATCCTTCTTGACTGGTTGGAAGGGAAAGAATGAATTAATTTCCTTAGCTTGCATGTTCTAGGCTCAGTCTGGCAGAAGCCAGCTGGCCAGTCTGTCTGGTTCATAGCTCCAAGTGAGCCACAGTACAGACTTCTCTTACCCAGGAAAGACATTGGAATGGGTGGGGAGCTTTCCTGAGATAAAGGTAGAGGGGAAAGAAAAGTACTGTTAGGAAACAGGCTACCAGTGAAATTATTGCTTTTCTAAGCAATTTGGTGGAATGGCTGTTTTTGAAGTAACATTCCCAATTTTCTTCCTTAACTATTGATTATACATCTGGTTATTCTTTAAACTCTTTACAACAGACTGTCTTTTCCATAATGGTACTTTTTTTCCCTGTACAATGAAGGTCACTTCACTGTGTCCCCTCTTTTGTCCAAGTGTAGGAAGTTTCACTTTTTGTTTTCCTTGAATTTAATAGATTTACTTTGTGGTTCTTAAGCTAAGAATTATTTTTTTTATTATTTTGCTTGTTAGAAGTGTTGCAGAATTCACAAAAACCATTGTCCAAAAGGAACTGGCTCCCATTTGAATTTTTGCTTTGATGCCAAAGTAATTTCTGCGAAGGAAGGGACAGGTCAGGCCTTTCTTCAGTGTTTTGTCATTGTGAACATATCTGAACTGATTTGAACAGTATCTGGTAAAACTGGCATCATCCTTAACCTGTGGAAAAATACACTTCACATCCTTGGCTTACTTCCTAAAAACAGTACAATACCATTTCCACCAAGGTTAGAAAATCCCAAAAAGTGTGCTAGTAAATATCTATTACATCTGTGGCAGTGGATCAGCATGGCTTTGAGTCAGGAAGATTGAGATATTGATTTTTGTTCATTTTTTGGAATACCAACTGTACATTGACCTGTCCTTCTATCAAGCTGCTATTGCTACCTGGGCTATACATTAACTTTCTAATAGACAACTTTTTCCTTTTCCCCCGACATATTTCTCGAATATTTGTTCTATTTGTTTATGCATGTATTTATTAATTTATCATACATCCAGCAAGACGAATCTGTCTGAAGAGGAACTGAAAGCTGACTGTGATTAAGCCATGTCATCACATCAGATTTTTCCAAGGAGAAGTGGAAAATCCCACTATGACTGTCATAGCTCAGCTGCGCATCTTAAACCTTATTGCAGCTCTGAACAACTCAATTGTACAATTTAGATAATGAAGTGGATCTCAAATGTTTTTATTGCAACCAAACCAATAGACACACAATGAACATGGCCCTGCCACTGTTAACTGACATAAAACGTTAGGAAATGTCATTTTTCGTGGTGCAGTTAAAAACCCAACAGCCCTACCTTAGCAAGGGTGTCACATGTATATTGTAACAGTGTTTTATGATGGCCATAATGTTTATTGATGACCCTTACTACCCATGTAAAACATGTTTTCTTCTAGCAACTGTATTATCAAACTGACATCACCCCCCTTCTCCTTCCTTTTCTTCTCCATATCTTTTCACAGTAAATTGATTCAGGCATTTCACCTGTTTAGCTATTTTTAAAAAAAAAAAAACATCACTCATAGGTTAAAACTGTAAGATGTAATTGCAACATTTCTTACAGTTCCCCTCACACAAGTGTATGTAGCACAGAATTTTATGGAAAGGAAATGTCAAATCCAAATCTTACACAGCAAGAAAAACAAGCCAGTTTGTGCTGAGGAGGCTGATTTGGGTGATTTGGAAATGATCTGAGCTTTGGTAATGAACTGAAGACAAATCACCTGAAAAATCTGGGCCTTTACCTTGTTCCTTCAGAGGAATTACACTAGGCTTATTGTTAAGTAGCCATTTCCAATATGATCAGCCAAAGACAGTGTTAAAGGAAAGAAGTTTGGTTAAGTTCAGAGAAGCCAAATTGGCTCTCTCAAACAGTCAGTAGGAATAGGGTTTTTTAGATTAATTCGGTGCCTTTTACATCCTTATTCTTGCAAAATTGGAAATACTGTGTGAATAGTGTTCCTCTGGAAAAAAATAGTATTTTATTTGCAGCCTGGCAGGAATGGAGAGATCGGTATGCTGGTTAAAATGAAAGCCAAAGAAAATTGTCTGGGTTGGGTTGCTGCCTGAAGAAAGCTTGCTCTGAATGCTGGACTATGTATTACTTCATGTTAAAAATGCCCAAATTGTTGAAAATGTGTCTTAGCTAGTAGATTGAATTTATTTAGGGATGTCAGCTGAAGATGCATTCTATCATGGGATGGGAAATTATTTGCATGTTTTGTGGAAGAAAGCCTCATTTGGTTAGGAAATTAATTATAAATCTTAGGCATTCTCATGTCTGGAGCTTTGATGTGGTAACCTACTGAATTTACAGTCAGAATTTAGTCTGAGGTGGGATGAGAAATAGATCAGGCTAGATAATCTTTCTAGCTAGACGGATGAGCACTTTCTCTAGGAATAAACAACTGACTGACTTTTTTCCTTTTCAAAGTAGTTAGTGTTTTTTCAAGGTCTCTCCCTCAACCTTTACAAATGAAATATAAACAATGAGGGATGAATCTTCAGTGCATCTGCTCCAAGTCAGCCAGTAAGAAGTAGTGTGCCTCTAAAAGGAGGCCGAGCCCTTAATGTACTGTGAGTCATTGCCTGCACACGTCCAGCAGTTCTGCTTGCTTCTAGTTGTGTTCAACATACGGCACTTTGGAATGTTTCATTTATAGAGCAGGTCTTGTACAGTTGGTGTGGGCACCTACAGTTGTCAAATGCATTTTAGTTATGAGCTGGTCCTCTGACCAGGGCTGTTTAGTGTCCAGAAATTTCAGACAAAGAGTTGAATCTGGGGTTTTTTTTCTCTTTGCCTGTACAATTCCTCAAGCAGTGAAAAAACGACATGAAAAGGAAAACAGAGTAGTCCTAATTCAGGTCATCTGTTGTGATAGGCTTGGAATTCAAAGAAAGGCTGATAATCTTCAGGCTTTTGAGGTCCTTTACTGCAAAAAAATTGCTCAGTCACACCGGCTGCAGGCCAGTCCCTTTCCTTGTCCTCCTGCATGGGCTATGCTGTTCATAAATAGGATCATGCTCTCCATTGCTGACTTCTGTGCGAGTTTGGTATGGGTTCGCTGGGAAAACTGAAGATAAAAAACAGATGTAGAAAATAGAATTATGTATTCTCACCTGTTTTGTCTGAGGAAAAGCAAGTTGTTTACTGACCTTTCCCTTGCTTTAATGATCTCTGTGTTCCAGCTCTTATTCCAGGAAGCTTTGCTTATCTGCTGGTACCAACAACTAGAGAGTATTATCCTGGACACCTGTTTGACAGAGAATTGTTTATTTACCACTTAAGCAGCTGCAGTGTTGTAGTGCATCCTTTGAGGATGAGAAGAGTACATGATGGACACTAATGAGAAGACTTAAACAACTGAGCAGTATCTGCCTTGAATTATAACCTTGTGCTGTGCTTCGCACAAGATCTGTAAGATCAAGGCAGACAGTCTCACAGAGCTAGAACAGAGTTTCAGAGAATGCAAAAAAAAGTATTGGGAGACTTTGAAATGCCTCACTTAGGGATGAGTGGTAGACGTGCCTCTCAACTGCATCTGCCTGAAAAAGAGGAAAAAGTTTTGATGTGCTATTGGGGAATTCTAAGATGGGTTGTGTTAGTTCTGAATGAATTGTATATCGTTGTGAATTTAAGAGAGAGCTAAACTTCAAGACCTGAACAGGCTGATTTTTCATTTCTGGAGTTCTGGAAAGACTGCTTTGTAGATAATTTTTTTACCTACCTGTGAACTTTACAAGCCATTGTACATAGATCAATGGGCAAAATGAAAACCAAATAACAGAAGTACAGACAGTGAAAACAATTATGTCACCATGAGGTGTAAAAAGGGAACACCATCGAGGCTAGCAGCTTAGTAGAAAGATTTGACTTTTCCTCCTTGGTGCTTTTCTGGAGTTGCAAGAATGTGAGTAGGGTATTAGCAGAGGTAGAAGCTGAGCATCAATTTTAGTGGGACATTCATGACAGCAATGATTGTCACATGAGGGGAGACAGAGAGGAGGCAACAGCCTGATGGAGACTCACCTTGTCATTCTCCTAAGACAGCAGCATCTGAGATAGGGGAGCCAGAAGAAATGCCAGTTGTATATCACAAGGTACATTCTTGTTGTAGGGAGTAATGCATTGATTGCCACTTTACAGTGCTGCCTGACGGCCAGACTTCTCTCAGGAACAGTGTGTTGGCTTGCAGCAAAGAAAAGGTTGCTGTGTCTTGGTCACTTTGAGCGGTTTCTCCAGTAGACGCCGGTTCAGTGACAAGATCCGGTTTTTTTTATGTGTCCCCTTGAAAGGACTCATCACCCCTGCCCTCCCTTTCCTTTTTAGATGTACAGGAGTCTGTGATGAAATATAAATTTAGACTATTGTTCTATGTCAAAAATCTGTTCAGTGTTTTTATAATGCAGCTAGAGTGACTTTAGGCACGTGTTTCTTTTCTCTAACCTACTTGCAAGTCACGTTTATGCCTTAAAGAGCACATTGTTCAGGGTACTGTTTGACCATCTCTGTGAAACGCCTTTTCAACTGTAGTGTTGGTTTATGTCTGAAGACAAAAAGCTCTTTAGTCTTGCTC